CTAGATGCACAGCAAAATACACAGCTAGATACAAAGCTAGATACACTGCTAGATACATGGCTAGATGCAAAGCTAGATACATGGCTAGATACGCGGCTTGATGAGTAGCAATCACTAATAAATTAAGCCAGATGAGTGATGCCCTCAAACCACCAACAAAATTTTATTTCTTCGTAAGGCAACACATTTTCTCTTAATAATTCCTGGGAACCTAAGATGTGTGAGGCTTTTTAAAAGTTACTTTACGTTCTTAGTGCTAAGCTCACTGCTGGCAATATTCCACTTGAGTAGTAGCCCTGAGTTGATCTGTATTTTGTTTCTAGTGATGAAGAAATGCTCAATTGGTCACCCTCACTCGCTCGTCCACGATGCAGTAAATGAACAGCAGTGTTTTTTTGTTTTTGTTTTTTTAGCGTTTCACCAATTACACGTGGCAGAAGTTTTCGGAATTTCCCCGTGTCAATGTCATACCACCTACAGGACTCCATCCGAGTTTCATTTCAGAGCTTGCCTTCTCTTAGATGAGTTGCTATCGAGGGCTAACGCGTCCCATCCACCAGGGGTGTTGGTGATGTTCTTTTTTTCAATTTCCTAGGCATTTTCTGGGGATTGAACGCCAATCAACCCGCTTGGGATTGACTCAGTTTAGACTGCTCGGCCACTCGGCAACCTCCAGTAGTCTATCATACTGGAATCACGACAGGAAAAAATACTTATATAGAAAATTTGATTTCAAAGGCATGCGAAAAACTTTTTAGTACCATTCAAAAACAAATATTTGATTTTTCGTCTCATGAAATGAGATAAGGGGGGGGGGGTGTTACAGATTTGTCCTACTTTTTTTGCTGTCACATGACTCTCTCAAATTTCTGTTTTTTAAGAAACTTCCACACCACATGCGTGTGCAATTTAAATGCTACCCTCCCCTACCGCTATGAAAAGCATAAACTAAGGACAGTAGTGATTTTTTTTTGTTCCTTGGTTTAAATATGTCAACTAAATTCTATAATGGTTGCTTTATCTTTAACCCGATTGGCTGGTGTTATCACCAAATAGGCTATAAAAGTACCAGCTCGTCCTCTGTAAGGTCGCATATTCTGAGTTTTTTTAGGTCATTGATCGGTAAGTCTTTGTGTATTTATTCTCAGTGATGCTTTCGGCCTGCTTTCAATTATTATTTTTGTAACAGTAAAAAAAAATGTTTAAAATGATAAAAAATACATTTACATTGGCTAACAGAGCGTCAAAACATATTGCAGGTAAATTCACAAGCAACTGAAGTGTCTGAAGTGTCTGAAGTGTCTGAAGTATTCCAAGCGTATCCATGTTGGATCAAAGTGTCCGAATTATGCAAACCGTGTCTGTGTTAGATCAAAGTTTCTGAAATATGCAAGGCGTGTCTATGCTAGATCAAAGTGTCTGAAATAGGCCGAACGTGTCTATGTTAGATCAACGTGAAATACGCCAACCGTGTCTATGTTAGATCATGGTGTCGGAATATGTCAAGTATGTCTATATTAGATGAAAGTGTCTGAAACATGTCTATTGAGTCTATGCTTGATCAAAGTGTATGAAATATGTCAAGCATGTCTCTGTTAAATCAAAGTGTATGACATATGCCAAGCATGACATATGCCAAGCAAGTCTACATGAGATTTAGACGAAGTAGGTTTAAACCATTGTTGGCGCCAGACTGTGTGCACTGCGTTATGTCGATGGCGTCTTCACGCTTACGAAACTACCGAGCCTGGGCGATCTTTTTTTTTTAACGAAGCAACAATTTGGTGCAGAGAGTTCTAACCCAATGGACATCAAATAGCTGATATAGCTTGGGCCCTAAACGATCAAGTAAATGTCTGAATTATATTGAAACTCAAGTTATAGATCAGATCGCTGTAAGAACTCGCTCTTTCTATTTTTTTAGTCAGGTTCAGCTACTGCATATTGAACTAGAGAGCAGGGCTCGGTAAAACACCACCTGTGGGCTAAAACTGTCCTGGCGCCGTCAGTTTTTGAATGAGTTGTACATTTGAAATTCTTTTTTTAAATAGTTTTAAATTTGAAATTTTTTAAAAAAAAAAAAAAAAAAAAAAAAAAATCTTTTCCAGCGTGATATCAAAGCGTGGCGAACGCATGTGTTGATTTTAGCGTTTATCAGTGTTGATTCAGGTTGTCGCTCAATGCCACTGTCTGGTAAAAAATATATCAGCTATTATTTCTTGGCGGTTTTTTTATGGCCTGTGGTTCGCTGTCTGATCCTATTTTAAAAAAGAAAAAAGACTCTGGCGTTTAACCCACAGAGCTCTGGCGTTAAACCCACATAGCTCTGGCGTTAAACCCGCATAGCTCTGGCATTAAACCCACATAGCTCTGGCGTTAAACCCACAGAGCTCTGGCGTTAAACCCACAGAGCTCTGGCGTTAAACCCACAGAGCTCTGGCGTTAAACCCACAGAGCTCTGGCGTTAAACCCACATAGCTCTGGCATTAAACCCACAGAGCTCTGGCGTTAAACCCACAGAGCTCTGGCGTTAAACCCACAGAGCTCTGGCGTTAAACCCACAGAGCTCTGGCGTTAAGCCCACAGAGCTCTGGCGTTAAGCCCACATGGCTCTGGCGTTAAACCCACAGAGCTCTGGCGTTAAACCCACAGAGCTCTGGCGTTAAGCCCACAGAGCTCTGGCGTTAAGCCCACAGGGCTCTGGCGTTAAACCCACAGAGCTCTGGCGTTAAGCCCACAGAGCTCTGGCGTTAAACCCACAGAGATCTGGCGTTAAGCCCATAGAGCTCTGGCGTTAAACCCACAGAGCTCTGGCGTTAAGCCCACAGAGCTCTGGCGTTAAGCCCACAGAGAGTTTCAGCCTCAAGCTTATACTAGGGCGGGAAAATAAATTCAGCTGAAATTATTTAAAAATTTAAAATAATTAATAAATAGATTGAAAAATGTTTTTTTTTTAAATACTAATGTGAAGTTTATAGTGCGACTGATATATTAATTAATGTCGTTTTTGGGGAACCAGATGAGTCAAACAAATTATAAAAAATTTTCTAGTTAGTTTCACAGCTTATACATTTTTCAATTAATGAGAAAACATTTAAAGTGAAGTGAAAACATTGATAACCCGCAATTCGCTGCTTAGCAACTATTAATTTATTGGTAACAAAAAATAGAGGAGTATTGTAAAGAAGGAGGTGGTCGTTGTTTTGTTTTTGAATTGATAACTGCAGCTAGGTCTATCTTCCAACCAAGAAATGCAGCTAGGTCAATCTTTCAACCAAGAAGTGCAGCTAGGTCTATCTTCCAACCAACAAGTCCAGCTAGGTCCATCTTCCAACCAACAAGTCCAGCTAGGTCCATCTTCCAACCACAAGATCAGCTAGGTCTATCTTCCAACCAAGAAGTGCAGCTAGGTCTATCTTTCAACCAAGAAGTGCAACTAGGTCTATCTTCCAACAACAAGTGCAGTTAGGTCTATATTCCAACCAAGAAGTGCAGCTAGGTCAATCTTTCAACCAAGAAGTGCAGCTAGGTCTATCTTCCAACCAAGAAGTGCAGCTAGGTCTATCTTTCAACCAAGAAGTGCAGCTAGGTCAATCTTCCAACAACAAGTGCAGTTAGGTCTATATTCCAACCAAGAAGTGCAGCTAGGTCAATCTTTCAACCAAGAAGTGCAGCTAGGTCTATCTTCCAACCAACAAGTCCAGCTAGGTCCATCTTCCAACCACAAGATCAGCTAGGTCTATCTTTCAACAAAGAAGTGCAGCTAGGTCTATCTTTCAACCAAGAAGTGCAACTAGGTCTATCTTCTATTCAAGAAGTGCAGCTAGGTCTATCTTCCAGCCATAAAAGCTCAATTTATTTATTTTAATCTTCTTGATTTTTCAGTGAAGGAGACGTTTTGTCGATGCTTAAAAAAAAAACAACAAAGAAATCATGTTGTTACTTCTATTTGTCGTTTTAAAAAAAAATGTGATTGTAGATCTCACCATATGATTACAATATTTTCATAATTCCTCAGATCTGCACGTCATGGCAACACTGACCAGACATTTAACAACGACTCTGCTGTTGACCTGTGTCGTTCAAGATCTCGCGTTAACTCGTACAACCGACCACCCATATCTTGATATCGGAGAAATACTGGAACGTGTCTGTGATAGCTGCCATTTGCAAATTAGGGCCTGAGCCGATGAAAATACAAGAACAATTATTCGCGAAGAGAAATATTGGGAGGCATATACAAATGTAGTTAGTTCCATCTGTTTTAAAAGCCTCAATCAATGCTCTGAAAGCGAGACAAAGATTTTTGAGGACGCTGCTTGTTATGCCTCACGTTTTCTTGGTAGTAATCCGACCACCGGGCGAGACATTGCTTGTGATTCTTCACGTTTTCTTGTTAGTTATTCGACCACCGGGCGAGACATTGCTTGTGATGCTTCTCGTCTTCTTCTTGGTTCCCTTACCATCGCAATTTGTGTCCTAGTAATTGTGTTGGGTCAAATGCAAAATTTCAGCCATTGATCCCATTATAATCATTGGTTTCGATTTTTAAATTTACCTAATCTGAAATACATGTTAAACGTTTTATCTATTAAAATTGCTCTAAATCGTACATTTAGCCACCTTAGTAATGAAATCTCAAAGTCAGTTCCTTATTAAAAATGTATGTTCCCTAAAATACCTACAGGGCTTGTTCGCTTATTTCGAGAATTAAAGAAAAAGTTTTATTTTAGATGTTATATACTTAAGACAATATTCTTTATTAATCCAAATTAATCTAAAGCTTTAATTTTTTAAGCATTTTATCCGAATTAGAAAGTTATGATATATTTTTTAAAAAAAATCAATAAGTAATGGTCTACGAATTATTATTATTTAATCATAATGACTTTTTATCGGGAAAGCCCAAACATTATTTTTTTTTTGTGTGACTTGTTAATATTGCAAAATTAAATCAAAATTGATTTAAAATAAATGTCTTTAAAAATATCAAATTAAATCAGATTGAACTCAAGGGCAGAAAAATGAATGTGGTTTGAGGTGGCCTATAGGCTTAAGCTATGGCTTAAAAACACCCTAATAACGCTTTCTAAATATATGTTTTGTTTTTCTTTGTTTTGGATTGAGTTTAGCAACACATCCCCATGAACCAGCTACATATATGTAATAAGCTATTGTTTGCACATCTGTCTTTTCCCCAACACTTTCACCAACGCGGGATGTTGTAAACACACCTATCTACGCTTTCAAAACATGAAAAGGTGTGGGATGATGTAAACACATCTAGGTCTATCTTACAACCAAGAAGTGAAGCTAGGTCTATCTTACAACCAAGAAGTGCGGCTATGTCTATCTTACAACCAAGAAGTGCGGCTAGGTCTATCTTACAACCAAGAAGTGAAGCTAGGTCTATCTTACAACCAAGAAGTGAAGCTAGGTCTATCTTACAACCAAGAAGTGCGGCTAGGTCTATCTTACAACCAAGAAGTGCGGCTATGTCTATCTTACAACCAAGAAGTGCGGCTAGGTCTATCTTACAACCAAGAAGTGCGGCTAGGTCTATCTTACAACCAAGAAGTGAATCTAGGTCTATCTTACAACCAAGAAGTGAAGCTAGGTCTATCTTACAACCAAGAAGTGCGGCTAGGTCTATCTTACAACCAAGAAGTGCGGCTAGGTCTATCTTACAACCAAGAAGTGCGCTATGTCTATCTTACAACCAAGAAGTGCGGCTATGTCTATCTTACAACCAAGAAGTGAAGCTAGGTCTATCTTCCAACCAAGAAGTGTAGGTAGGTCTATCTTCCAACCAAGAAGTGCGGCTAGGTCTATCTTCTCTATCTTCCAACCAAGAAGTGCGGCTAGGTCTATCTTCCAACCACAAAGTGCAGCTAGGTCTATCTTCCAACCAATAAATACAACTAGGTCTATCTTCCAACCAAAAGTGCAGCTAGATCTATCTTCCAACCCAGAGGTGCAGCTAGGTCTATCTTCCAATCAAGAATCGCGGCTAGGTCTATCTTCCAACCAAGAAGTGCGGCTAGGTCTATCTTCCAACCAAGAAGTTCGGCTAGGTCTATCTTCCAACCAAGAAGTGCAACTAGGGCTATCTTTCATTCAAGAAGTGGAGCAAGGTCTATCTTCCAGCCATAAAGGCTCAATTTATTTATTTTAATCCTTTTTGATTTTTCAGTGAAGAAGACGTTTTGTCGATGCTTAAAAAAAACAACAAAGAAATCATGTTGTTACTTCTATTTGTCGTTTTAAAAAAAAATGTGATTGTAGATCTCACCATATGATTATAATATTTTCATAATTCCTCAGATCTGCACGTCATGGCAACACTGACGAGACACATCACACTGACTCTGCTGTTGACCTGTATCGTTCAAGATCTTGCGTTAACTCGGACAACCGACCACCCCTACCTTGATTTGGGAGAAATACTCGAACGTGTCTGTGATGGCTGCCATTTGCAAATTAGGGCCTGTGCCGATGAAAATACAAGAACACTTATTCGCGAAAAGAGATATTGGGAGGCATATACAAATGTAGTTAGTTCCAGCTGCTTTAAAGAACTCAAGCAATGCTCTGAAAGCGAGATAAAGATTTTTGAGGACGCTGCTTGTTATGCCTCACGTTTTCTTGGTAGTAATCCGACCAACTGGCGATACATTGCTTGTGATGCTTCTCGTCTTTATCTTGGTTCCCTGACCATCGCCATGTGTGTCCTAGTAATTGTATTGGGTCAAATGCAAAATTTCAGCCATTGATCCCAATTATAGTCATTGGTTTCGATTTTTAAATTTACCTAATCTGAAATACATGCTAAAAGTTATATCTATTAAAATTGCTTTAAAACGTACATTTAGCCACCTTAGTAATGAAATCTCTAAGTTCCTTATTAAAAGTTTATGTTCCCTAAAATACATACAGGGCTTGTTCGCTTGTTTCGGGAATTAAAGAAAACGTTTTATTTTAGATTTTATATACTTAAGACAAGATTCTATATAATTTATCCAAATTAATCTAAAGCTTTTATTTTTTTAAAGAAATTACAATTACATGTTCATTTTCAGAACAGAAAAAATTAAATTTTTAACCAAGAAAATATTGACAAGTATAAAAATTTAAACACAAGACATCTACAGTGTTTCTCTAGCCTAGAAATCATCCATCAGTGAACTAACCCCTTTAGTGACAATAATGACTTAATGATTAGTGATCATTTACATTGGAAATTTTTTTGAGAGCACACTGGTAAATTTAGTAGCCAACAACCAACTCATGTATTTCAGGTGAATAAAGAACATGTATAAAGTACACTGAATATTTAAAGACTTATAATAAATGTTGTTACACGCTTATTGCTGTTCGCCAGCTAGAGATTTCATAATAAAAAGCCTATACATTGTGTGAATTTTTTTCATGTTATGATCTTGGGGATAAAATACAACCATGGATGACATTGGCCATTCATTCTCGTCAAGTGTCCTAACAAATGGAACTACATTTGAGAACCAGTATTGGAATGAATGTCTTTAGCGAGAGCCGACAATTTTAAGCATTTTATCCGAATTGGAAAGTTATGATATTTTTTTTTAAAATGAATAAGTAATGGTCTAAGAATTATTTTTATTTAATCATAATCACTTTTATCGGGAAAACCCAAACATTTTTTTTTTTGTTGTGCCCTTTTAATATTGCAAAATTAAATCAAAATTGACTTTATATAAATGTCTTTAAAAAAATATCAAATTAAATCAGATTGAACTCAAGGACAGAAAAATTAGAATAATTTCAAAAGAGCAAAACTTTAGCTAGCAAATAGAAAGCTGTAAATTTCTATGACTTAATAATTGCTTGTGACAAAACTGATCATGTTAAAAAATAATAAAATATAATTGAATACAATCGAATACTTTTAAATTATTAATTAAAAAAAAAATTAGTTTTGTATTTTTAACATTTAATAATTTTTATCGTATTTTTCATTACAAATATTTAATTTTATCAAATTTATAAAGTAATAAAAACTCACTACGTCATTTATCACTCATCGAAACAAGAAAAAATCATATGAAGTTGCATTTTTAAAAATATATAATATATATATACTTTTATTAAAAATAAATATCTATATCAATATATCTAAAGACCCAATTATGTGATTGATTTGAATTTTTTTATAGATTTGTTGTTCCAATAAATTTCCATAATATTTCAATAAAAGAAAAAATGAGTAGAATGATATGTATTTTTAGAAAGATAAAAAATTGAGTGTTAAAAGGGATATAGGACTTAAATAATGTAATTACATTCAGGGATATGCAAATAAATGTGTGTTCGTGTAGGTAAGGGGATATCATCCAGTGGATGGTTTTATTATTTTTCTTAAAAATCTGGGGGTTTGGGGGGTGGGGGGTTCGATACTTTCATTTTGCCCCAGTCAGCACAAGATATGCCTCCGAATAAAGAGGAATTAATTTGATAAATATTTAGCTGCGTTAGGTACATATTATATAGTGGTGGATAGGTGACAGGGTGTTTCTATTTTTCATGTTAGTGAAAATATCTTTAATTCCAATGACATTACGGTCGTGAAAAAGAGATATTGCATTCATTTTGTACATATCATCATATGTTAATGAACTGAGAGGATCAATAGAATTACCCAAACGTGGGTCACTTTACATAAGTATTCAAATCAATTTAAAAACAAAAAAGAATTACCCAAGGCAAAATTTAATTTTGAAAATTGAGCTATATTTTTAAAAAAAATATACAGTTCAACGACATAAACAAATTTCTTTTAAAAAACACACACACTCGGGGCTAATGTTCACTTTAAACTTCTAACAGATGCGCAGCAAATTTCCATGTAAGTGTGTGTTTGTGTTTGTGGGCTATAAAATTTTGCGCACAAAAAATTGATGCTTTACCAATTTGCACACAAATGTATGATTTGGCACACGAACCAACAAACCTTAGAGGGAACATTGCTCGGGGCTGTTAAAAAAAGGTTAATAAATTATTATTTTGACAAAAGATTACTTTGTTTTAACATTTTCCGTCTAAATAGTGGAAAACGAAGCAAAAGTTTGGTTAGTTTTTTTATGAAGATATAAATATATAAAATTCCGTTAATATTAAATATATTTAAAATGGTATATGAATGGCTTCTGTTTTCAATTTAAGATTATGTTTTCATTTTAGAGAAAAAAAAAAAACTTAGTTCAAGTGCACAAAATGGGTATGGTAGGCCAAAAATTCAACAATGTAAAAAATGAAGACATCTAAAGTATTTCTCTAGCATGGAACTCAGCCGTCAATAAACTCCGTTAGTGACAATAATGATTTAATTAGTGATCATTAAGGTCATCATTTAACGTCATGTTTAGAGAAAAAAAAGTGTAGTTTAGGGAAAAGAAAAAGGGGTAGGGTAGGCATATACTAATGTAACAAAAAATATCCTCTCCAAACGTAATGATGTCAGAAACGTAAATGAGAAGTAGAGCATAATATATTACATAAACAAGAAGTATAGCATTACACATTACATAAACATACTGTTTTTTGTTTTAAAGGGACGGGGGAATAACCATTAAACAATTTTAAAATCGTGTTTAGTATTTGTAATAAATAACTCTTATTTTTTAAAATCCAAAATGATGGTCTTCTTTAAAAAAAACAAAAACAGTGTAGATCTTAGTAAAATCTCAAGAAGAGAATTTTTCCATACCTGGCAAATTTTCTTATTGGGTTTAAATTAAGTTCAATATCACACGGGCAAGGCTGGTCAAATGTTGTTTTTTTTTTGTTGTTTTTTTTTTTGTTTGTTACTTTCCCACGATTCAGCATACATAATAGGACTTTGCAATAGACTGGGATCATGTACCGCAAAATGCTTACCATTAGAATCCTAAATTAAGTTCAATATCACACGGGCAAGGCTGGTCAAATGTTGTTTTTTTTTTGTTGTTTTTTTTTTTTGTTTGTTACTTTGCCACGATTCAGCATACATAATAGGACTTTGCAATAGAATGGGATCATGTACAGCAAAATGCTTACCATTAGAATCCTGGTAACACCGGGTCATATGCTCTAGTACGTAATACTAAATAACAGTTTTTCTCCTAAAAATGTTGATGAATCGCCAGAAAACACAACTTTAATCTCGTAAAATATAAAGCGTGGATAATCTTTGTGGCAAAATCCAGCATCTCTAGAGTGAGCGAAATTCTTTGGTTAAAGTATGTTGGTATAACAATAAATATGAATGTCAAACAATTAAACTTTAAAAAAACAAAACAAGATAATGCACGTTCATTCAATTGCAATTGTAATAAATTTGAAGCAAAACATATCAAAATAATTCCTATCCGATAGTAAACAAAGAAAATCAGGGCGGGGCAATCATTTCAAAATAAAAGTGATTTGTGCTTCCAGAAATGAACTGAGTTCTTTTGCTTGTAGTAAATGTTTGACGCTAAATGAGAAAAGAAAAAAAAAAAAACAAGAACTGAACTTTATTCAAATAGTTGATCCAGCGCCCCTTGGTGGCGGTCTCACGCCTCGTCGTTTCCCATCCTTTCTTTCACCAAATAGCACCACCACCATCTCCTGCCTATCAGTCCCACAACTCTCTCACTCAAAATGTCTCCAACGCCACCACCCCCCACCTCAAAATAACTTCTTCCGCATTCCGTCACCTCCATTATCACGCATAAAAAACCCACCCATTGCGGTGAAGTAAAAAAAAAAGGGGTGGGGGTGGTGTATTCTTTTTTTTATATCTAAGGGCGTCATTTCCTACCAACTGCAGGTTTATTTTCGGGGAAGGGTGTGGCAAAAATGTAGGTGATCCCCCATCTTCATAGTACTGTAACTGTCACAGAGTGACTAGTAAGCCAAGGTCAACCATAGCTAGTTAGAGAGAGAGGCAAGGGTATGGGGGGAATAATAAAATACCGTACATAGTGGAGAGCTTGGACCTGGAGACCACAGGGTTGGGAGTACTGACCAACTAGAAAGGGCCTGCGTGTCAGCAGGGTTACCGGCATCTGACCAGGGGCTAGCTTATTAGACTTCCCTGGAAGGACCGTTGCGCTATTGCGCTACGGGGGTTTAGGACCATTACAACTGTTCACAAATTTAAGTACTGGAAGATTTGGGAGTCAGATTACAGACATGAGAGGGAACACCCATGGGCTCACGAATTATAAATAGGGACCATTGGACAGGACTGGGCAGAGGTCAGCCGAACAGGGTAGCGGACAGTCAGGGAGAGCTCCGTCCGTAGAAGTAGTAGAGGACTGTCAGAGTTACCATCCACATAAAGCAGTTAGGCATAACTATATCAAAAACGTTTTGGTAGACACCACTGACCACACTTTGAAGAACATTAGAGAGAGGGGAAGGAAGTGGACTTGGACTTACCCTGTGCCAGTTTGCTAGAGAGGTAAGTGCATGTAAGGTGTGTGATTGAAGAAGCTGTAGGGTGGTTTGTGTAATCGAGAGTTACGTTAGGTAGACGATAATAGTTTAGAAGACGACGGTGAGTATCTAGTCGGAAGTTAGGATTGATTACATAGTGTAGGGGATTTATTCATATATTTCAGGAATAGTCGCCCTTTATATTGCCGTGAGAATAGATGCTAGCAGAGCGACCATCTCAAGCACTTGGCAGTGAGACGAACGTGCATAGTTCCATACAGACGATTGACGGAAGACAGTTCCACGAGACTCCACGAATAGAGATCGTAGCGTGTCGAGAGTCGTAAACTAAAGTGCCTGTATCGTGCAGGCGTTGTCAGCAGATGTGCTTGAATTATTGAGATTATAGGACAACCTTTATAAGTTTCTTAGTGTACTTTTAAACATAAGTTTCTTAGTGTATTTTTCAACATAAGTTACATCATATGTTGTGCTGTATACATTGAGTTTCATTTCAGTCACTTATACATTGTAGATAATAAACTAGAAGTAGTTAGTTTAACTTAATTAAAGACTTCTTTGTTATTGTATGTTTGTTGTGTTTCCTTGTTTTGTACAAACAAAGTGGTGTCAGAAAGGGGAGAACTTAGACCCCAAACGTTACGTAGCGTGAAGGAGCTCGTGACAGTGACCTTATTCTTCACCACCGCAAACACCACTCCATTTCCGCCACCCAAACCCAGCTCGGATAGGAATGCCTATTTATATTGTCAAGGAAAGAATCAGTAATCATGGTTCAGATATCCATGTGGAAATTGCATGAGGCAAGGTTGCTACTTTGTAATTTCGGGAAAGCCATGGACTCAACTCCAGAATACATCGCATCTGTCTATCCTGACGTATTTTAACTAGATGCACGCCTTGATGCATGTCTAGATGCATAGCTAGATACACGCCTAAATGCACGGTTAGATGCATGGCTAGATACATGACTAGATACGCAGCTAGCTAGATAAACAGCTATATAAACGACTAGATACACGGTTAAATACACCGTTAGATACACGGCTAGATTCACCGCTAAATACACGACTCGGTACACGGCTAGATACACAGCTGGATACACGGCTAGATTCACAGGATGGTACACGACAAGGTACACGGCGAGTATACATCAATCACTAAAAAATGAAGCTAGATAGTTTGTACTTCCAAAACAAACACATATGGTAGTCCTTCTCGAGACCACAAATCAGTGCTCAGTTCACTGACTGCGTTACCAGAGCGATGCGGATAGACGGACTGCCGCATTTGTAAAATATTAAAATATTATATAGTTCATTATATTATATTATTGTTCACCCTTCTCCCATGAAGATGACCAAGTCAATAATCCTCTCTAATATTAGCCTCCAGTTGAGCTGTAATTTGTTTGAATTACGGTGAGAGTTGCTCAATTCGTCAGCCTCAATCTCTCCCTCGTCCTTGCCCTTTTGAT